CGACTTGAAGGACATTGTCCACACAGCCGCTCTCGAGCAGCGCGATGCCCCGTTTAAAAGGCAATCTGCTCTCGTCGTCCCCGCCGTCCTCGGCTGAGTAATTGAATGAGGAGTACATGCAAATCTCCCGTTCGTTCCTCGGGAAGGACCAGTAGACGATCCGCCTCTGGACGGGCTCGGGGATGCGGGTGAAACGCTCCTCCACTTGCTGGAAAGGCCACTTCTCCGCCACTTTCCTGGCGCTGATGTCCAGCAGCGACTCCGGGTTGTGGGTCTTGCCGGCCGGGGCCGCCCTGGCTGGCGCTTTGGAAGCATTAAAGCCTGGCCTGCAGCAGAGCCGCTTTGCGGGTGGCTGACCGCGGTCCGCCATACTGCCTCGCTTCGCTACTGTTACATTGAAACGGAAGTTATGTACATTATAAGAGAAACCTTTATCTGTTTACAATGAGGGCGCGCCTCGGCTGCGGCAAAAAAAGGTCAGGCGCTCCTAATATGGCGGCGAGTGGGGAGGGGGGGGGGGAGAGAGGGCGTCGGCGGACTGTGTGATGTCGCCGCACAAGGCCACCGCGGCCTTATATGGAGCGGGAGGGGCCGGTTCCGAACCCCCCCCCACCCACCCGCCCTGTGATGCCGCCGCAGAACCACCACCACCGCCCGCCCACCCGCTCCTTGTTTGGGGGGCGGCTCCGGCCGTAAAAGCCCCGCCCCCGTCCTTATATGGGAAGGGAGTGGGGTGGGGGGGCGTTCCCGAAGCCCTTAGAAGGCCGGTCTGTCCTTATATGGGAAGGGGAGGGCGGGGCCGCGCGGCCCCGAACGCCTTAAAAGGACCGTCCGTCCTTATTTGGAACCGCACCAGCGGATCAGCGGCGACCCGCTTTGATCTCGTGGTTAAAGGGGCCGCCGCCCTTGTGTGTGTGTGTGTGTGTGTGTGTGTGTGTGGAGAGAGAGAGAGAGAGGAGTGCAATCTTGGCAGCTGTGAGAGCTGCAGCCGCCCCGCTTTACTCTAATAATAATACTGATCCTTGCGTTTGATGCAGCGCCTCATCACGTCCAACCACTGGAGACACTGGCAACTTTTTTTTTGTCATGCGTGTGTATGTGCGCGTGTGTGCGTGTGCGTGAGGATTGTGTCTTGGCGTAAAAGGACGGACCAGCTGAACCTTATATGGGAGAGAGGAGAGAGAGAACGAACGAACGCACGCGAGGGGTTCCTGTTCCCGGACGCCGGGTTGAGTCGAGCCGGGCCGAGCACTTGTCGTGTTTTCTTTCCCTCCCCGTATAAGGGCGGCCGCTCCTTTTATTTAGCCGAGGGGGAGTGGAGAGGAATTTGGGGTGGGCTCCCGAGTGTACGATGCCCTTTTACGAGGGAAGGAGGAAGGGAGGGGAGCCGGCGTCACACGACTCTTCATAACAAAAGGGCGCTCGGTGGTCAGGGCCAGGGCTGCCGGGCTTCCTGCTTCGGGGTTTTTTTTTAAGTCTTAAAGGGAAATGTGTTGTGTTCCCAAACACTGAAGGCGGTGACAGAAGGGCTTTTTGTACCCCTGCCCCTGGCGTTGTTTCTACTCGAGAGGCTTTGTGTTAGAGCTATGCCTCGAGTTGCTTTTATTTTTAAGTGCAATTTAGATGGTGCGCGGGGTTGGGCGGAAGGTGCTTTAAAGGGAAGTTTGCCCGGTTGCCAAATCATATGGCAGCCCCGGGTCGTGCTGGTTGAGAGAGGCTTTCCGTCAGAACCATGCCTCATGACGTGTTAACTCTTGCAGCGACTTGTTCCAAATCCAGTTGTAAACTTTCATGTTGATTAACTAACTCCCCCGAAGCAGGCCTCCCACACTGCCACCACCTCTCAAAACGCCAGACCTCATCCAGCTTCTTCTTCGTGCTAAATCAGCCTGCAGATTGAATTATTGTCGAGTCTGAAACCCAAGACACTGGGTCGGTATTTATAATAATCCTTGCATTTGATATAGCACCTTACCATGCTATTGAGACGTCTCAAAGAGCTTCACGGAATATACTGTAAAGTGAATTGACTGTGTATTTGTGACTCCAATACAACAATGCCTTGTTATGATTCAGATACCGGAAAACACTTGCAATGATCATATTTACCACTACTTCCCTGTCACTGCTTAAATCCAGTTTCCATACATTCCAGTAAAGATGTTGCAGAGCTGGGGAATTGAGTAAATGTTCACTGCCAAAAACAAAACCTAAGTTTACAGGGGCCTACGATGAAGATATTTTTATTCTTTCTGTTTGAATCCAGGATAAATTTAGGCCCTGATTACTACTGTATATTTGTTAGTCATCAGCTTTCACTCAGCGCTCAGTCTTTTCATGCCTGAATCACTCACAGAATTGCAACAAACCTGAAAACACTAAAAAAAATCCTGGCAGCTGGTTGCACACGCTTTGAAGTTAAAGAGAGTTTCCATAAGGTCCAAAGATTTTAAACTAAATTACAATGGTGTGTGCAGGTTTCCAAAGGGGAGAGGAAAATGCTAGGTTGGCGAGTCACTGCACAGATGCTATACCATACATGTCAATATTTCCACTGGAAAAATACCTATTGGCATACAAGTCCAGGGAAGGGAAAGGGCATAGTTCCCTTGAGATTTTCTTCTGCATAAAACTTTTGTTTTCCTGCATTTTGATGGATACTTTCAATTCAAATTCTGCCAGCTTCAAATGAATAGTTCGACAAGAACAGACTGCAGAAAATCCATGCTCCTGTGTCTGAGCTGCAAATTTAATACTGATTCAATTTAACATATTCTTGACCCTATTTTCCTATAATGGATTAATCCTTGATAAACGTGCTGTGATTATATAGAGGATATTGTATGTCTGGCAATTGGATTCAGATGATATGAGAAACTATTGAGAGGAAAATTCGTATGGTTTGTTAGTCATCTGAATCTCGATATTAGATTACTCTCTTTAATCCTCTGTCACCCATCCAATATTTTTATATTGTATGGAGGCTTTTTGTTCTAACCTTAGCGAATGGCACCTTTTTTCCACTGTTGTTGAATGAGGACACAGTTTGACCCAGGAAGCTATGTTATTTTAAGTCATATAAGATTAAGTGAATCTTCATAAATTATCAGGTTCTTCCGATGGTGCATTACAAAGGAATTCATTGCGCTTCAGATGTCAAAATAGATAATCCTTTAATGTAGACATCCTCACACATCAAGTGCACTGACATACCTAGACTAAAACTGAACCATGCAGCCTTGCAAGTATGTAGTAATCCTTGTGCCTTATCACATCAAAGACATCTCAAAGATAATTGTCAAGTGCAGTGATTGGTTTTGTAGGTGAATTTAGTAATGCAGAAATATATTATTTCCACAAACAATGCAGTAAGTCATTTCAAAGATGCTCACCTCCAAGCTCAGATGACACAATGATGAGGTGATTCTTTTATAATTGCTGTAACAGGTTCAATCTCCATAAACCAGTTATTGAGTCAGTCAGGAACTCCCTCACATGGTAAAAGAAAGTGAACCATGGAGTCTTAAAAAATTCCCTCAGAACACACATAAGATGACACTCCAATATAGCGCAAGGGTACTTTGCATTGTCAGAGGTTCTATTCTTCGGATGAGAGATTGGAAAATGTATTTCAGAATAAGATAAAAGAAAGAAAATTAATTCAGTTTCCTGTCTAGACTCTAATTAAAAGAATTTTACTAATAATAATGATTAATAATAATTCTTGCTTTTAATATAGCGCCTTATCACTTCGTTGGACGTCTCAAAGCGCTTCACAGAATATATTGTAAAGTGGATTGACTGTGCATTTTGTGGGTGAAATGGGAGATAAATGGAACATCTTATCTGGAGTGGGAGGGGTCGGTTCCGAACCCCCTGTGATCTCACCACAGCAGAACACCCTCCCGCCCACCCACTCCTTGTTTGGGAAGGGGTTAACTTGATGGGTAAGAGGGCCCCAGCATCGGCAGATCATGGCTCTGTAATTTTTTTTAGAAGATGCAGGGAAGAACATTTTTGGAAAATTCCACACCCATTATTTATGCAGCTGGATTTTGATTATGCTTATTGTAGACCCCACAATGGTTTGATTTGCTGCTCTTTAGATTGACCTCTTGAAACATTAATAGAAAAAGGATTTACTGAAAAACAGGCATTTCTTTCTCTTCGGCAGAGTTTTTATAATCTTGTGAAAAATATCTTTACCACCATCACAAAACAAACCATTTTGATTAGGCAGGTTGCATATGGGTCCCATTCCTACTGTGCAAACCTTGCAACCAAACTCTGCTACAAGAAAACATGAGGAAAATGTTAGGGATGTATAGAAATAAATTATTTGCATTATTATAGTGCCTCATCGCGTCAAAATGTCTCAAAGAGGTTTACAGGTAAATAATCTAAAGCCTAGTGACTATTTTTGAAGACAAACATCCCAGGATTTGTTCTAGAAAAATTCCACAAACACAGGCATGAGGTGAATTATCAATTTACCCGGAGAACTGTTTACCAGCATACCAGGGGGAAAAAAAAACCTTCTCTTTTCTAACAGTCATGAAATCTTTAATATCTATCTGAGCTGACACAGGTTGTAATGTCTTATCTTAAAAATGGTACCTCCAACAATTCAGCTATTCCAACAATTCTCCAGTACTGCACTGATTTATACAGCCCTGATTTATACAGCAGTAAGTAGGAACCCAGTTGTTAGTTGATTGGCGGAACACTTTTCTGGGGGTAATAAGTCCTTCAAAATAAAAATAATTTGGTCAACCAATCTACAACTGTTTGTGGGACACTGCTGTGCGCAATTGGCTGCCACGTTTCACCCACAAAATATACAGTCAATTCACTTTACAGTATATTCCTTGAAGTGCTTTGAAACATCCCCAAGACGTGATGCAAGAATTATTATTTTTTATAATATATGAGGGAAATGCGAATTCAGGTTTGGTCCAGATAAAACAAAAAGTATGTGATGACTCTGAGTCTGTCCAACCACTCCTACCAAATAAATTTAAACTGAATGAAAATCATTAGGAATAAGTGGCACTTGCATCCAATGAAATAATTTCAGTTTTAGAAGGATGAAGATTAGAATGACACTGAGACCATCTTATTAATGCTGTTACAAGTGGAATTGATCAGCTAAAGATCTAATTCTGAATGATCTAAACCAGTCCATTTTTCTACATGGTTGTAAAATGTGAACATTTTGTTGGAAGGAAATGAGCAAATGCACTTTAAGAAACTGTTCAGCATTTGGTGAAAGGCGCTCTATAAATGCAATCTTGTTGTTGTTGTTGGTGGTGATAGGATCACATGATTCGTGAGATACTTAGGAGAGTTGTTGCCAAAGTATTGAGACAAAAATGTTAAATACTGA